GGTGATATAAAAAGGAATTTGAAAGTTTGAAATTGGAAGAAGAAAACCTACGCAAAAAAAAACTTACACGCCAAATTTATCTCTATATATACTTAATTTCGCCCAATATTGACAATTATTATTATTATTTATTAGTTTTCTTGAAATCATATTAATTCGATGTAACTTGCTAATAAAGTTTGAAAAAAAAAATATCAAATTTTTAATGTTACACGATATAATAAAATAAATGGATTAGTAAACTCAAAGAATTGCAGAAATTTATTTAACTAAAATAGATAACTTTTTTTTTTAATAAAGAATATAAAAAAAAACATTTTTTTTCATTTACCTCGCATTTTTTGTTTGTATGCAGAATCATATTTTTTTATTTTTTTTTGAATTTCTTTTTTGAAAATTTAAAGTTTTATTGTTGTAAATAACTAATAGCTTCTTCTCTCTTCTATGCTGAGCTCGTTGTTGAGTTCATAAAAGAGAGGCAGTTAGTAAAAAATCGCTGTTTTTTCAACCCTATTTTTTGGGAAGGAATTTTTTGTTTTTTCTTGGCGATGAATTTCTGAAATTAATCCACATGATGAAACATCATTTTACTGCTTATCCTTGTCTGCATAACAAAGTCTTTTTCCTCAAAATTGTTTATTATTTAGGTTAGTTAGGAAATTGAAACTATAAAATTTAATATTTTTATAATAATTATAATAATAAGATAATAGTTACGACACCTTTTGTAGTGTCACTGAGACTTGCAGAGAATGAATTCCAAAATATCTTCTTTGAAGCCTTCTACACCAATGATGATAATAATAACAACATGATCTCAGAAATCTCTAAATCGACTATTTCTTTATTCGACAATAATTTAAATTGATAATTTAACTAGTACTATGCAAGAAATAAATTCAAAATATTGTTATTGCACAAATCGCATTTGTATTTTTATTTAGCCTTGTCGAAGGCCAGAAATCTTTTCCTATAGAATTTCTATATTTGTTATTATTCAAATAACCCAACCATTCAATGTAACTTAAATATCCAAAATTACAGATAATTCAAATAATAATCTTTATCAGTTTTTTTTGGACCGTCCCAATCTTTAAATAGGTCAATAAATATAAAAAAAGGAAATAAATCGATCACAAGTAAATAAAAGGGACTCCACAAAAGCCATTGAGCTTTGTATTATTTACAGTTATCCGGTGCCATTAAATGTGCTTACAGATTCGTCTAGGTGCAATAAGCGAGAACCAAAATAAATTCATAAACTAATCAAAAGTAGCTAAAAATTTATAATTTTTAAATAATCTATCTTAACTGAAATGATACCATTATTTAACAAGAATTAGAAAATAGTAAAAAGTTTTCATTATTATATATCTCTTAAACAGTCAAAGTATCCTTTAAATGGTAACACAAATTAAAGTTTTGATCATTCTTATTATTATTATTATTGGTCAATTTAATGATCAGCAAAGTAAAAACAGTCAATCGACCAACTTTTAAAGAAGATTTTACAAAAACCACAAGGACAACAACTAGATTTTTATTTATAAGTTAATCAGCTGAATCTCAAAGATCATTTTTCGTATTAGAAAAGTGATGCCTTAGAAAAAATTTTTTATATCAGAAAAATTTTATCAGCTATCAATAGCCGATTAACCGCTTAGGGGATAACGACATGTCAGCATAATGGGAGAACCAATCAAAATCATTCTGATCATTTCTGAAAAGATATAATAATCAAACAATGTGCCACATTAAACGATGGGAAGTGTATTTTCTGAAATTTTTTGGTGATCAATGACAGAAATTCTATTAATAAAATTAGCCACAAACCTTAATTTTACCCTTTTTTGTTCAGCAATCTATTTGAGACACAGATTTTTCAAGACTTATTCCTTCTTTTAGAAAAAAATTAGGAGTGGTTATTAATAAAACAGAAAAAAATCTTGGTGTTAAAGTTTATCAACCAAATTACCACATTTGGAAATTAATTATCTATTTTTGATTATGACTCCTGATAATCTCCTGCCCACAATTTTTTCCTTTTGTGTATTGATAAATAAATTTATCAAAATTTAGTATAGTTGGCTCAGTCTAAAGACCTCCTAAATTTTGTGCAAATTTTAAAAGTATAGAAGTCATTTTCTGCCCTACCTAAGGTTGTGGGCGAAACCTCTTAATGACTGTCGAAACTCTGTCGAAACTCTAATGAACAATTAATGTGTAACC